CCCAGCTCAGCTGTCCCTTTCCCCATGACACCAAGAAATACAACAGCAAGTGTTACAAGAGTCACAAGTCCGACCTCTGCCCTGGCCCGTCCCTCTCCCTCGGGGGCAGGGACAGCGGGGAGGGTGCTCGCCCTCAGCACCTCCCCTGAAGCCCCAGACACACCCAGCACCCCCAAAGCCAGGACTCTGGCTTCGGAACAGTCAGGGGGCCCCACAGCCCTCAGGATCACTAGCGTTTCCAGAATTCTCCATCGCCCTCCTCGGCCTCGGAAGAGACCGGCGCAGACTCAGTGGGCCCTGAGTTTCCTGCAGCTTCCCGGTCATCTCGGACCTCCGCCTTTACTTCCACGACAGGGAGGTCACAGACCCACGCGAGCGCGGTTAATTATCCCACTGCCCTTCGCAACGGCGGCTGGCCAGACACCAGTCCCAAGTTTGAGACAAAGTCCCCTTCAGCCCCAAGCGCCGTTCCAGCCGCGGCCACTCCTCCTGCTGCTACTGGTGTGGTTCCTACATCCAGCTCCCTAAACACCGGCTCCATGGAAGGAATGTCTCCAAGGGAACCTCCCACGGCCACACTCACGACACACAACACGAAAGGCCCAGCCGCTGTTGGTGCCCCGGCTTCCAGCAGGGTACAACCCGCAAGGGGAGAGGGCGGCGACCAGAAGTTGAGAACTACCCGCCTGCCCCCTGGAAGCACATCCCCATCGGAGACATCCACGGATGCAGCCCTGGCCATGGACAGGGTCCCAGTCTCAGCAACCGCGTCTCCGTCCACAGCTGCTGCAGGCGCCGCGGGGAGGACAAGCCACTCGCTTGGCATGTTGTCTGATGCCCTCCATCCTGTGCCCTCTGGAGGGATGACGGTTTCTGGCAATGAAACCAGCCCACCTCTGACTCCAGAAACAATTCACTCACCTCCGGAGCCCAGCTCTACGAGAAGTCACTGGCGCAGGCTTCCAGCCTCATCTCCTGCTCCTGCTGCCAAAGTCGCAGTGACCACCATGTTTGTAGCCCAGGGAGTCTCCACAGGCGTGCTAGCGGGCACAACTGAGACTGGTACATGGGACCTGCCCAACTTACCTTCTACGACGTCCTCATCACCCAGGAAGACCCCAGCCAGTGCCGATACAGGGAAAAGCCTGGGTACGTCAGCCCCATCAGTGAGGCTGTCAGAAGAGAGAGTCCCTACCTTCAGCATCCACCCAGAATCAATGGGCTCATCCGGCTTCGGCTCCAGAATACACACCTGTTCAGAGAGTCCCAGCACAGTGATGAAAACTGGCTCTGACCCACCCCTCACCTCCCCCTCCGTGAAGGCCACCACTGCTGTATCAATAGCAAAAATGGACATTAAGGAAATGTCTGACTCTTCTGGATCACCCCCTGAGATGTCCGTTCCCGGAAAGACCAGTACCAGGGGTACCACATACGTCACCCCTCCGGATCCCACAGAGACACGTTCGGCTCAGGTCTCCTCATCCCGCCCAGTGAAGGAGCTCAGAGCCATGGACACCTATGCAAGAACAGAGTCCACCCACCCAGCTACTCACCCTGAAAGCCCTAAAATCCCAAGGACACCCGGTCCCGCTAGCCCAGCCACAAGACCATGCACCAGCACAGGCAGAGTTGAACACTCCACTGAATCCCAGGGCACAGATCGGGCAGAAAAATCCCCTGGATTTGGGACACAGTCAACGCCAGGACCAGTGTCTGCAGCAGCCTCTGCCTCCTCTGGAAACAGAACATGGGAACTGACCTCTGATGCCTCAGGTGAGTCCTTGACCCCGACAACCAGTAAGGAGAACACAGTCACTTCTTGGCTGTGGGCTCTCACTTCGTCTCTCCCCGTGGCCACGTGGCTGAGTACCAGCTCAACAGAGGACATGGCCTCAACTGCCCCTGACGTCTCACGTCCAAGTTCATCCGAGACAACGTTTGCTACATCTACACCTGTACCTTCTCATGAACTTTCAAGTCCGGGAGTAGACACCAGTGCTTTCCAAAAAAAAAGATTTGACCACCGTGGGCCAGCACCTAGGAGGGGGCACAGCCACAGCCTCCTACCAACTCACCATGGACCCAGAACCAAGTGCATCCACCTCATTCATTGATTCAACCTCAGACGCTACAACCAGAGGTATCACAGCCTGGGGGACAAGAAGCAGCACCGATGTGTCTGCATCCAGACTTCCAGTCCCCCCCAGCCCAGAAGCCGGGCAGAGCTCATCTCCACCCCTCCGCATTACTCCTCCATCGACAAAGCCCATGTCCCCAGCAGCACTCACCGCTTTGACATCCAAGAAAGGACTCACACCATCAGAGGCAGCAAGACCGGTCAGCGCCATGTCTCAAGATGAGACAAGCTCACCCCCACAGTGGTCTACAGAGGCTCCTTGTCTCACTACCAGCTCTGCGGAAACCAGCAGAGGGGTGACTCAGACATCTGACCATGGAAAAACCACCGTCGATCTGGGAACAAGTTTAGTTGCCAAAGGGAGCAATCCATCTCTGTCTTTAATTCCAAGCACTCCCGGAAGGCAAAGCGGCCCCTCGTCAGAATCATCAGTGACCGTAAGGAGAGTTGGGCCACGATCCTCTTCTTCAACCTCTGATGTGTCCCCCGAGGGGACCACTGCATTGGGCATTCCCCCCACAATGGGGGAAACTGCTTCCTCCCGGGCCTCTGTACTGCTGGGCACGAGATCGTCCCCGTCTCCCCCGGTGGCCACATCTTCCGTGGGCACTGGGGACGATGGGGGGGGACGAGCTCTACCATGCCACAGTCCAGCTCATCCTCCGGAGGGGGGATAAATTCCTCTATTTACACATCCCCCACCATTAGCAACAGTCCTGATTCTTCTGATCTGTCCACCACAGCAGTGACCAGGGCCTCTCCCTTAGATCCCACTGCCTCAAACTGGGTCTCTTCCTCAGCATTTACCAACATTCTGGCACAGACCAGCCACACTTCTTCCAAGACTAGAAACCCAGGGCTAGAGCACAGCAGCCTGGGAGTGGAGACTGACCTGGCCAGAATCTCATCAGGAGCATTAATCTCTTCTGAAGCCGAGACAGAGCCCCGCCAGACATCCCCCTCTGCACTGTCAGAGGCCCTACCCCACAGAGGTGAGGCTTCTGGGTCAGGAAGCGGCTGTTCCTCATCCTGACAGCTTGCCCCCACTCATGAGTAAGGACCCGCTGCCTCTGCCTTCTTGGAAATGGGTTTGTTTTCCTTGGTTTGTCATTGAAGATGGTAAGAAATCCCCTCCCCTCTTTTGACAGGCTGTTTTACTTGTATCGCTTCAGGATTCTGGCTGCAGGGAAATGTCCAGTTGGCCAAGATGGCCACCACAGCTCCCTGTTATCTGGTTTTCTAGATCACTGTGGAAGTCGCCTGCATATACCCAGAGTGTGGGATTGCTCATCCATATTGTGCTTTGTTTTTTTTTAAATTTTATTATGTTATGTTAGTCACCATATATCATTAGTTTTTGATGTAGTGCTTTGTAGCCATTCCTGATGAATATCACATTTTTTTTTAAAAAGATGTATTTATTTATTTGAGAGAGAGTGCTCATGAGTGGAGGGAGGGGCAGAGGGGGAGAAAGAGAGACAAGCATACGCTGCACTCAGCATAGAGCCTGACATGGGGCTTGACCTCACAACTCCGAGATCAGGACCCTGAGATCATGACCTGAGCTGAAACCAAGAGTCGGACACTTAACCGACTGCACCACCCAGGCGCCCCATGCGTATCACATTTTTTAAAAACTTTTTTTCTATTGAGGTAAAATATACAGTTCAGTGGCATTAAGCACATTCACATGGCTCTGCAACTGTCCCCGCCATCCGTCTCCAGAACTTTTATATCTTCCCAAACTGAAACTCCATTCTCATTAATCACTAACTCTTCATTTTCCCCTTCTCCTTGCTTCTGAAATCACCATTCTATTTCTGTCCTCTATGAACTTGACCATCCTAGGGACCTCATATAAGTGGAATCATGTACTATTTGCCCTTTTGTGTCTGGCTTATTTCACTTAGTGTGATATTTTCAAGGTTCATCCATGTTGTAGCAGGTGTCAGAGTTTCCTTCCTTTTTAAGGCTGAATAATATCCCATTGTGGATATATACCACCTTTTGTTTATTCATATACGATGGACATTTGGGTTGTCTCCTCCTTCTGTCTATCGGGAATCACCGATAGACAAAATGTTGCTATGAACATTAGTGTACAAATATCTGTTTGAGTCCTTTTAATGCTTTGGGGAAAATATCTAGTAGTGGAATTGCTACACAATGTGGTAGAATACTACGTTTTTATGTGTAGGTTTTGAAACTTCTCGGGGTCACCCGTTCTCACCCAGACGAGAATCAGCCCATCATGACTAAGCTTCCCTAGGTATCCCTGATTGACGATCCTTCTCAGTAAGACTGGTGGGCATAGAAGTCTGTGGCTTCTGTGTCTGTCTCATCTCCCTGAGTTGACTGATCACATCACCTTAGTTATCATTATCTATAAAGCAAACTGCTTCCCATTAGGGATCTGACAGTCTTTCCTGACACTATCTAGTATATGCCCTCCAATATGTCCTGTTAGAATATCTGGCTTAAAGTCACCTGGGCAGCCATCTGCTTCACTCATATACCTCTTTGACCAGCCCATTCTTTATAGGATAGACCAGCACTTTGATGCCCATGACCTCCAGACTTTATGTGGATTCTGTTGATGCTGGCACTAAAGAGACAAGAGAATCAATGGGTCAATTCCTGCCCATTAATACCTTACTCCATTGTGCTTGTTCATGGGCACAATTCTTGTGCAGAGTTGGCATTCAAATCACCCCGAACCTACATTCTCCTGTCTCTACTCTTTGAATAACACTTCCTTGTAAATAATCTTTGTTTCCAAAGTGTTCACATGTTGATTTTTCTCAAGTGCATTCCTTCTAAACTGACCAATATCCGTCCAACCCACCTGTCTCTCCTACAGGCACTGATGGGTCTATGATGTCCATTACTAACTTCCCCACATATGAAACTTCCTCATGGCTGAACCGTGACCCTTCAACACCTGTGACAGTGGTTGACCCTGCAGGTATGATATTATAGCTGCTGCTTAACTTTGTCTTTCTAGGAAGCATGTTTTCTGTTCTCTGGCAAACTGTGCTATTGCTAAAACTAGTCTGAGAAGTTGGTACCACCTGGATTTCTCCTAAGAATGTAGGTTTCTTGGTCCTGTTTCTTCAATACAGATCTTACGTATCTCTAAGAACACAAGAGATCATTCTGTGTTCGGGACATGTTCATTAGTGGATGGCTCTTACTGAAAGAAGTCCAAAACTATCATGATAAGAATTGATCAGGGATGGTTGATGGCTCCTGGAATGATCCTTACATGGGAAAAAAACACCATCTTGGAAGATGTGATGCCATGAGAAAGTCAACTCTGTGTCCCAGAGGTTTATCTGAAAAAGAAATGGTTCTCTCTTGTCAGGAAGAAGTGATAGAGGTTTAGAGACTGACCTATTTTATAATCTAATTTTCCTTGCACTTAGTTTCTCTTTAAAAGCCGAACAGGAGTTTCCAAAATGGAAAATAATAAGAGAGTATAGATGCTAAATTATGGCCTAATTTCTTAGAAATAATATTCAGTGGTCAGGGGTTTCAGATGGGGGAACAGGGACCACGGGCAGGGGTGAATAAGGCCAAATATGGGGAAGGAGAAGTACGTGTAGAAAAGGAGGGACAGACTCTCCCTCAGGTGGTCAGAAACAGATTTGTTAAATGGTCTCTCAGGACAAGCTCAAAAGATATTAATCTGATAATCATGGAAACCTCACCACAATCACTAATACTTCCTAAAATCATGAGTACACTTTTTAGCAACGGAGGGCTGGGGGGACAACTGTGCTGTATCACGTCACAATTTCTCCTGATGGCCAGCAGATGTTTGCTGAGACTTCAGGAGTAGATCAGACTGCCAACACTATATGCTTCCATTACTTCTGAAAAGCCAAGCACACAGCCTTATGTAAATGAGCAAGAAAGGGTTCTTGCTTCTCTGACTGACCCTGCAACTACCTTGATCTTGAAAACCAGTGAATACCCATCAGCAGCAACTATCACCAGGTCAACCGCTCAGAGGGATACAAGTTCCCAGGAACTCATTCTGGAGCCTGAAACCATCTCTATACAGGCCTTCTCTTCAGGGTCCAGGACAGATGGGGTCAAGCATCCTTGGATGGTCAGCAGCGCAGAAGTAGCCATCGTGGGAACACCAGTCCCTAGCAGCATGGAGGGCAAGCAGAGTTCTCCTTCAACTCTCACCATGACATTTACAATGTCAGGGCACAAGTCCCCAGTAGCAATGACTCTTCCTGAAGGAAATCTGACTCTGAGTATAAGTTCCAAGGGACAGAGCTTAAAGGCTCCTACCCTACAGATGACAATGTCACCCACTTTCAGAAGTGACATACCACTGACCACTGAGATGATGGGGGTCTTGGCCAACTGATGGGTCACTCACTCACCTGAGATCACAGAAACTGGGAACAGTTCTCCAACTTGGATCAATACCTCAGCAGAGACACTAGCTGCTTCGGAGACCACCACAGACACAGAGGGAACTCATCCTTTCACAGATGTACTGGTGACCACTTCTGGGGCTGACCATGTTCTTCTGCTTCTACCCACTCAGAATCACACAAGCTCACACCACCAATGGTTACAGCCTTCACTATGGAGGCCACCAACCTTTATATTTCAGCCTCCATTTTTCCTAAGTCTGCAAGGACTGGGGCAGACTGGTTCCTCCCAATCTCTTGGACTGAGGGAGACTAGTACTTCTCAGGATTCCAGCACAGGCACAGACTCGGCATGGTTTTTCCCAAATGTTCCGTGATACTACTACTGAAATCACTGGGACTAAGTTCACTTCCTATGACTGACTACCTAGCCCAGATTTACTCAGTCAGTGGGTGACACTGACCTCCCTGGCAGAGCCAACAGCAACCATTCTCTCTCCCTCCCATGGCAGATTCTTTACACATGACCTTCAACACACCAACAAGCCCATCTAGGACTATAGCAAATAGCACTCTTACTCTGGACACCACAACCACAACCTCCTGGGAAGTGTCCTCTCTGCTGAGACTCAGGGTTTTTTACTCTCACTGATGATCACTCCTAGGAACAGAGAGTTAGAGGCTCCATCATAGACAAACCTTCTTTTGGAGAAGAGACCAAATCTCTGTCCTCCCTGGTACCTGCCTCAAGTTCAACCTCAGCTTCTTCTGTTTCCTCCAAAGCAGAGAGATCCAGAACCCCTAATTCTCCTCTACCTGCCTCAGGACTAACACCATCCACATCATCCACAAACATTCAATCCTAGAAAACCACAGCTTCCCTAGGCCCTGGCTCCCCAGAAGATTCCTTCTGGTCCCTGAGCACTGCTGTGGGAGAAGACAAGGCCCCTGAGGTGACTTCTTTGGCCAGGCCACCAAAGGCTACCACGTATGGTGTAGCTGTGACTATAGCCACTGAGGAGAGCTCCCCTGATGTAGAGACCAGCTCAGCTCCAAGTCTTGATAACTCTATCCCATTTACAAGTAAGAACCTAGTTCCTGACTTCCCTTGCTTTGGCATTCTGAGATTTGGTGGATACTATTCAATGAGGAGGAGAGAGAATTCCTTCTGAGAATGTCCTTCTGGTTCCACATATCTAGTAGAATCATTTACCTTCTCTATGTAACTAGTGACACTTTCAGCATCCTTGGGTCCAAATTCAGTTCCTTCCAGTCAGAGCCTACCTTTCCCCTCCCCAGATATAAAGTCTGCATGATGATAGTTATAAAAGAATGTTAAAGGAAAATGACAAAGTGCATAACCAAGACATAGTATTTGCATGTGCTTACTAATTTGATATAATAATCCATGGTATAATCCTGATTGTACTCATGGAGTCTAAAACATGGGAGGGAAAAATTAACCAATGGTGAATTCACATATTTATAGGTGATGGAGACAGAATATCACCAAATGCTTTTGCCTGAGACCAATCAATTCAGCAGTCTCACCATCAACAAGAAGCTCTTCTATAATTATGATGCAGGCCATCTTGTGGGTTTGATTTCATGCCAACAAGAGAATTCTTCCTTGCAATGTGCCTTCTCAGAGACAGATGAAGACATGGCTGAGCCAGTGTCTAGTGAAAGCATTTCTTGTGTATGCACATCTTGAGGGAATGCTAGGTTGACACCTCAATCCTCTTATCCTTCAGGGACTCAGGAGTCTGTGGCAACCACCACCAGGGAGCTGAGTGAGGGAATATATGGAGGCACCACGTGGTCAACAGGTGACCCTGCACCTCTGGTGACTATCCTCAGCCTGGGTATGTATGATCATCTGTGTATACTATGCTTAACACTAGTCTCTGGAGTAAAATAATTGATTGCCTAAGTCCTATGCGCTGGTACATAATCAAAACTTTCTGCTATTGTATCCAGAGGCTATTGATAATATTTTTTATTTTTAACTTATTTTATTTAAATTCAATTAGTTAACATAGGGTGTATCATCAGTTTCAGATGTAGAGTTCAGTGATTCATCAGTTGCATATAACACCCTGTGCTCATTATATCACATGCCCTCCTTAATGCCCATCACCCATTTACCCTGTCTCCCCACCAATCTCCCCTCTAACAACCAATACTTTTTATGGAGCATTTATTGATTTCTTTCTCTTTTTTTAAAGTTTTTATTTATTTATTTTAGAGACATAGAGAGTGGGGGGAGGGGCAGAGGGAGAGGGAAGAAGAGAATCCTCAAGCAGACTTCCCACTGAGCACAGAGCCTGGCACAGGGCTCGATCCCAGGACCCTGAGATCATGACCTGAGCAGAAATCAAGAATTGGATGCTTAAGCAACTGAGCCACCCAGGTGCCCCTAGATTTATTGATTTCTAATATAAATTGCTTCTCTTTAGTAATTTATATGTTCAAGAGCCAATCACTTCAGCTTTAGGAACAGATAGTGTCTCTACAAATCAGTTGACCAATTGTGAAGGGCTTTCCTAACTCAGACACCATCACTGAAGTCAGGGATTGCCATGAACAGGGAAAGGTACACTTGAGATGCTTGGTTTATTCTGTGGGACAATTCATAATTACAAGATGATTATAATACTATCCACTGTTACAATATTTAGTACACGGGCCACAGGTGAGAGATGTCCACTTCAGGTGCTTAAGTGGTTGAATACAGCTGCCCTGATTCCTGAAAGCAATCATTTGACATGTCTTTCTATGCTAGAAAGTAAAAATGTTCTGGGGCGCCTGGGTGGCTCAGTCGTTAGGCGTCTGCCTTCGGCTCAGGTCATGATCCCAGGGTCCTGGGATCGAGCCCCGCATCGGGCTCCCTGCTCTGCAGGAAGCCTGCTTCTCCCTCTCCCACTCCCCCTGCTTGTGTTCCTTCTCTCGCTGTGTCTCTCTCTGTCAAATAAATAAATAAAATCTTTAAAAAAAAAAAGTAAAAATGTCCTGCCTTTCCTGATGAGAGGTGAAAGAATATGAAAATATATAGGAAGTAAGATGCCTTGATCTACCTCTTCTCTTGACCTGTTAAAAGCAAGCCACAGAGCTTTTAATTAAAATCACAGTCTTGAAGTCTAGGGGATAAAGGCAGATGTCAGACTAAAATAGAATGATTAAAGGCTTGACAAAGGAGGAAAAACAGAGCAAAAGGTGGGAGAGTTTTCCCCTGTTCCTGGGTAGAATCTTCACCCTCCCTTAAGACATGAGATGTGGTATATAGGTCTGCATGGAGGCCACACTGATAGAGAAACATAGGATGCCAGAGGGAGCTCTGCGAGCCAGTAGACCAAGCTCATATACCCAACATTAGATACAAGGATAGGACAATGTGATTCCTGCCGTCTAGAAGAGCAGAATATGTGCAAATTTATAAGGAGAAAGGAAGGAGAATCAAAACCATAAGAACCCCTTTTTTACCTCCTTGCATACTTCCTAACTGAAGAGCTGTTTCAGTCACAGGCCTGTCCACCAGAAGCCCAGGAACATCCGAAGATATCATAAATCCAAGCTCCAAGGAGCCCAGCAGCAGCCTCAAGACCAGGACCACTGTGGGAACTTCTTTTAGGGAGACTCCAACAGAGACTACCCCCACAGACACCACGATGGGACTGGCCACCCTTCAATCCCTGACCACAGGGAGTGGCAGCACCAGACTCCTTCACTTGTCCACAGGAACTGTGGTGCCAGCAGAATCATCTACAGAAACAGTGGTAGTTACAAATAACATCTCACCCTCCCCATATCCAGTTGAAGCTCAGGCCACTATATACTCTGGGACACCAGAAGGGACAAGCCAGTCAAGAGGAACAATGTCTTTCCTCCACCGAGAGTCAACTTCCACAAGGAATGTCCAGCAAGTCAGCTCAGTCCTGACTTCTAAAACAACTGAAATGGACTTGTCCACATGGCTTGGTTCCACGGAAGGGACCACAATGGACAAGCATTTCCCTTCTAGCACATCTTCCACTGGCCTTCAGGACTCTGCGACAAGTTTAGTTATAACCCCCAAGGTAGCCACAGGCTCAGCGACAGAGAAATCTGAACTTAAAACCAAGACATGGGTCAGCAGCATGGTCGCTCCTTCCATTGCCTTCAGTAAAAGGGCAGTGACAGCTGAACAGCAGACAGGTGGATCTGTGGGGGAGGCTTACTCATCTGCTAGTCCATGGTCAAAGCGGACAGCTGGGAGTGACCCAACACTGAGTGCCTCCCCTGTGGACCCAAACACAGCTATTACCACCCCCCATTCCGATAGGTCAGAAGGCTCAGCCACTGTCAGCCTCATCAGTGTGGCAAGAGAGAAAGCTGGCTCCTTTGTACCTGCTACCTCCCCTTTCGTGGGGCCCAAGTCTGAGTTCATCACAGGATTGGAGACCACTGAAACCACATCTCCAGCTGGAGCCCTTTCTGTGACATCATCTACAGAACTAACAAGCAAGGGTGGGGCCCTTACAATGGAGGTCATCCCCTCCAGCCCCAAGGGAGCAAGGTCAGTTTCAACTGTAATGCCTAGCCCAGAGAGGAAGTCCAGGACCACAGGCAGCACCCAGGCACCAGGGACCTCTCCATGGACTGTCACAGACACAGCTGCCCACTTGTATGTCACAGGTTTGCCCAAAAACAGTTCCGCGGGGAAGATACTTTCTTCCTCAGCAGTAGCTATTGCAACAGCTGAACAACAGGCAAGTATATCTGTGGGTGAGGCTTATTCATCTGCTATCACATGGTCAGAGAAGACAACTGGGAGTGATCGGATTCATGGTGCATCCCCAGAGGCCACAGACACATTGCATCTAACCTCCATAGAACAAACCACATCACCATCTCTGACCTTTAAAAGCCAAGCCATTACCAGCTTCACCAATGCCTCAGGAGGAGTAATGAGCTCTTCACCATCTATCACATTTCCTTCAATGAGATCTAAGACTCTAGTGGCCATCCCAAGTGTAGCAACTAGTGATGCTTCCTCTATGCCTGGACAACTGTCAGAGACCTCATCTCCTGCAGAAGTGAGCGTCATGGGTGTAACCACAGCCCCCACTCCAGATGTCTCCACCACTATCACCACCATGGGAACAAACTCAGTCCTGACTACCATGTCTAACCCAGAGAGGAGAGTGAGCACCCTGGCCACGGAGACCAGCATGTCTTCCCTAGAGCCTGCTTCCACCTGGTCACCTACAACTGCTTCTACCCCAACATCAGGCCCCTGGGCTATAACAGACACAGGTTCTCCTGAAACAAGTTCTGCAATGGGCACAACTTCATCCTTAGTATCTAGCACTGAATCAGGCTCTTTATCTACTCCCCATGGTCTTGTGACCATCATTGGAACCAGCCTGCACATTCCATCTTATGCTTCAGCTAAAGAGACGAAGTCCACAAATAAGAGAACATGGAGTCCTTCAGACACAACTACATCTATGCCCATCTCAACAACTTCTGGTACTGAGACAATGAGCCCCTCACTTCCTCATGATTTAAGCACAAGTTGGACTACTGACCATCCAAATACAAAGATTGAACCCAATATCCTCCAATCCAATTCTCAGCCTGATTTTCTGCCCACTCTTGACTGGGCTACTGGGAAATTGGTGTCAACATCCACAACCACTACTTCACATCCTCAAGGGAACACATTTCAAGAAATATCTGTGGGGAACATGATCAGCCAAACTACCTCACAGCTGCCAGTCTTTGCAAAAAAAATTACAAGAGGGGTCACGAGTAATGAAATGGTAAGTCGTTCTACAAACATGTTAACAGGGAGGCCAGCACTCAAGAGCAAAGAAGCAGGACACAGTATTAACGAGATTCCTACCATAAAAGGTATAACCATGGCCACCGAAACAGTTCTCCCTGGGG